CCACCCCCATCTAAGGCCAACTCCGCCTGTCTTTCCTATCCCACCATGCCTCTCAGATCAGGAGCTCCTGTCTGTACCTGCACTTGTGCCAATATTCTCCACTTGGCTCACTGTTACACATCCTCTGTGAAGCCCTTCCTTACCATGCAACACACAGTAGACACTTGCCTCTGCTGTTTAAAGTGTGTGTGTGGTTGTGTGTGTGTGTGTGTGTGTGTGTGTCCATGTCCATCATTCCCTGGCTAGGTGGGCTTTTAGAAGAGAAGAGCTGTAAGTCATTGAGTGCCAGCTTGCGGCAGGCTGTGCAAGGGAAGGGAGCGTGTCTTTGTCTCTTAAATGGTAAGATTTAGTGCATACCTACCCACTTTCTAAGCAGGCAGACTGGGGAGTTCCTTCTCTGCCAGAGGAGGTCCCAGCACCTTGGGCATTTAGAGCTTGCTTCTGCTTCTCTAACGGGGCTCTCCTGCAGCACTGTAACGGCGTTGACTGGCGTCAGAAGCTGGACTCTCAGCGAGGGGCCGTCATTGCCACGGAGCTGAAGAACAACAGCTACAAGTTGGCCCGGTGGACCTGCTGTGCTTTGCTGGCTGGATCTGAATACCTCAAGCTTGGGTGAGAGGCCTGTGCGGGAACTGGCAGCTGATCTTGTGAAAGGAAGGGTCTGGGTAGGGAGGTTGGCCCTCCCCTCCCCGTGTACTGGACTGGCAGAGATAAATCCAGGGATGGGGTAGAGATGGAGGGATCAGTTAGGAGACAGATGCCAAACAGCAGGCATGCTGAATGGAGTCCTGAACTAGGGCAATGATGTCAGTGAAATCCAGAACTGAACACTCAGAAGACGGAGTTTTCCCTTTCCCTTGAAAATAGCAGTGGACCAGGTATCACCATTTAATTGACATTTGATGCCAAGTGTTGCTGTCTCTGTGCCACCTGCTCTGACCACTGGTATCCCTTCCTCTGTTAGTTACGTGTCTCGGTACCACGTGAAAGACTCCTCACGCCACGTCATCCTGGGCACCCAGCAGTTCAAGCCTAATGAATTTGCCAGCCAGATCAACCTGAGCGTGGAGAATGCCTGGGGCATTCTACGCTGCGTCATCGACATCTGCATGAAGCTGGAGGAGGGCAAATACCTCATCCTCAAGGACCCCAACAAGCAGGTCATCCGTGTCTACAGCCTCCCTGATGGCACCTTCAGCTCTGATGAAGATGAGGAGGAAGAGGAGGAGGAAGAAGAGGAAGAAGAAGGTGTGTAGCAACCCACTTTCTGAGGTCTAGAGTGATCTGTGGGCTAGCAGGGGAGCAAGTTCTTTAGCCATTGTGATCTTTAACCTTGATAAAACTTTGAGAATTCCGAGACTTAAGTATGAAGCAGCATTCACTTTGCCTCCAAGAGCTTCTTCCAGAGCCTTTAGATCACATCAAGTGGTTGGGGAGGATAGCGGTGTTTTAGAGAAGTGGCTGGACTGTGGCAGAGGTAGAGAAAGATGAGGGAAGTCCTGGATGGAAGCCCGTGGTCTAGAGGGAAAAGCTCCGCTCTGGGTTAAATAGCTTGAAAGTTGTCTCTCCAGCTCCACCAGCTGGTGACTGAAGGAAATACCTGCCCGGCCCTGTGAGGATCTAAAAGGCTTCACTTCTGAATGGAAGTGTTGAAAACTCACACGCAGTCCAGCAGAGGTTCAGAAAGGAAAGTGAACACCATATCACACAACCTGGCTTATTTCTCTTACATTTTTTGTGTCTTTCAGAGGAAGAAACTTAAACCAGTGATGTGGAGCTGGAGTTTATCCTTCCACCGAGACTATGAGGGCCTTTGACGCTTAGTGGAATGTGTATCTAACTTGCTCTCTGACGTTTAGCAGATGAAATAAAATATACGTCTGTTTAGTCTCTCCTTCATCGTCTATCTGCATTAACGATTTACAGCCCTTTTTTCAAAGATTCCTGGCAGAGTGGGGATGAGATTCAGCAATTTCTATGTGGAATTCAGAATGTGGGTGTCATCATTTGTTGTAAGAAGTTCATTTCCACAAGCATGAGTGCCTGCTGGCTGTGTGAAGAGCCAACTGTTGCTTTTGGAGAGTTCACTGGGAGGAGCTGGACTGCAGAATGCTAGTACAGCGCAAAGCAGGGCATGGATGAGGTGGCGCTGCTGCGCATGAGGGAGGCTGCCACGGAGAGCTTGATGGATGTCCCACTGGCTGATTGTGTTATGGTTTGTGAACTGTTGTTAAGCTTGGCTTGGGCTGGTGACAGTCTCAGGCCTGTCCCTACAAAGCAGTGTGTCATAAGAGCTCTGGATGTTTAGGATATGTAAACTTTTTTTTTTTTTTTTTGAGACAGAGTGTCTGTCGCCCTGGCTGGAGTGCAGTAGCACAATCTCAGCTCACTGCAACCTCTGCCTCCCAGGTTGAAACGATCCTCCTGCCTCAGCCCCCCTAGTAGCTGGGATTACAGGCATGCACCACCATGCCTGGCTAATTTTTGTATTTTTAGTAGAGACGGGGTTTCGCCATACTGGCCAGGCTGGTCTTGAACTGACCTCAGGTGATCCACCCGCCTCGGCCTCCCAAAGTGCTGGGATTACAGGCGTGAGCCACCGCACCCAGCCGAGGGTATGTAAACTTCTGTATAAGTGGACGTTCTGTTCTGGACACTTTATAGAGTAATTACCCTGCCAGGTGTTAATGCTGAGCTTTCTGTAGTATCTAAGCCTCATACAGAAGTGTGATGCTGGCAGGAGTAGTACCATTATGAGGTGAGGAAACAGGCATGGTGGCTCAAACCTCTAATCCCAACACTTTGGGAGGCCAAGGCAGAAGGATCAGTTTAGCCTAGGAGTTTGAGACCAGCCTGCGTACAGGGAGACCAGGGCCTGTCTCCACAAAAAAAAATAAACTATTAACCAGTCATGGTGCTTCCACCTGTGGTCCCAGCTACTCAGGAGGCTGAGGTGGGAGGAGTGCTTGAGCCCAGGAGTTCAAGGCTGCAGTGAGCTATGATCACACCACTGCACTCCAGCGTGACAGGAGACCCTTTATCAAAAAAAAAAAAAAGCCAGGTGCAGTGGCTCATGCCTATGATCCCAGCACTTTGGCACTTTGGGAGGCTGAGGTGGGTGGATCACTTGAGGTCGGGGGTTCGCGACCAGCCTGAGCAACATAGCAAAACCCCCGTCTCTACGAAAAATACCAAAATTAGCCAGGCATGGTGGCACTTGTAATCCTAGCACTTTGGGAGGCTGAAGCAGGATAGTGTGAGCCTGGGAGGTTAGGGCTGCAGTGAGCCATGATTGTGTCACTGTACTCCAGCCTGGGTTACCGTAAGACACTGTCTCAAAAAGAAGATGTCCCTACTTTATTTTTGGCAAAGTATTTTGCCTAACCTCTCTGGCTCCAGTGCTTATTCAACAAATGCCTGAACTTCCGTATGTCAGATACTGGACAATTTCTGCTCTGAGGAAGCTTTTCTCTGATGTTGACACAGACTGAAGAAAGTAAATGACATTCGGCCGGACGCGGTGGCTCACGCCTGTAATCCCAGCACTTTGGGAGGCCGAGGTGGGCGGATCACGAGGTCAGGAGATCGAGACCATCCTGGCTAACGCGGTGAAACCCCATCTCTACTAAAAATACAAAAAATTAGCCAGGCGTGGCGGTGGTCGCCTGTAGTCCCAGCTACTTGGGAGGCTGAGGCAGGAGAATGGCGTGACCCAGGAGGCGGAGCTTGCAGTGAGCCAAGCTCACGCCACTGCACTCCAGCCTGGGCGACAGAGTGAGACTGTCTCAAAAAAAAAAAAGTAAATGACATTCTTTGGTAGGTACTTGTAGGCCTGAGAGGTCAAGGAAGTTTTTCTAAGGAGTCCCCAGCTACGATGTTTAATTAAAAGAATCTTGGCCGGGCGAGGTAGCTCACGCCTGTAATCCCAGCACTTTGAGAGGCCGAGACGGGCGGATCACGAGGTCAGGAGATCAAGACCATCCTGGCTAACACGGTGAAACCCCGTCTCTACTAAAAAAACAAAATACAAAAAAACTAGCCGGGCGTAGTGGCGGACGCCTGTAAGTCCCAGCTACTCCAGAGGCTGAGGCAGGAGAATGGGGTGAACCCGGGAGGCGGAGCTTGCAGTGAGCCGAGATCGCGACACCGCACTCCAGCCTGGGCGACTGAGCGAGACTCCGTCTCAAAAAAAGAAGAAAAAAAAAAAAAAAAGAATCTCCAGCCACGCAAAGCTGCAAGCTCGCAGTTCTTTCCACCTGCCCTTACCACAAGAACACTCAGCCCCATTTCACCGGACTTTGAAGGTTCCTACGCTGACCTCGTATTTCTTCCCATGTAAATCTCATACAGGGGCCACATGCCACCCCTGGGAAGCCAACCTTGATCATCCAGTTCACGTTATCTCCCTCCTGCCATTTATCTTGCCTCCACTGAGTTTTAATTCCAGGCTCCACTTCCTGTGATTGCAAACATATCCCTTCATCCCTATGTCTCCATTTGACCAGTCAGCTACCAAACGTCAGAAACAATGCCTTGCCCGCCTCTCCTGTTTGGTGGAAGATCAAGACAGTCGTGTATGTTACTTGGTAAGCAGTACACTGAGTCACTGTAGCAAACGCTTGTTAATTGGCTTATCCATCCTGGCTCCACCACGCTGGTTTCCAGTCCCACAAAACTGGGTAGGCCAACTAGTTTTAGTGTTAGGCTACATTCGTGGAATATGGTAGGATTAGCTCCAAAAATCACGTGCTCCCCTCCCTCCGTGTAGAGAGGCACATTTTAAAAAGAAGGAGCCAGTTCCCCATCCCGGATCTCCAGACCTTCCAACCTAGCCGGTGCGCGCCAGCCCCAGGCCCCTCTGCCAGCCCCCGGAGCAGCGCACGCAGCATGTGCGCGCCTCTCCCGCGCGCCGAGCCGGGAGCCGGCAGCCCGCCAACTTGTCCCGGCGTGCAGCGCGCCGCGCACGTGACCCCGCCCCCTGCCATTGGTCCGGGCGCGAGGGGCGGGGCCGCCGCGGAGCGAGCGAGCCAAGCGCGGCCTCATTAGACCACGGGCTGCAGTCGGAGCGGCTGGGAGGTTCGCGCGCTTCTCGGGGGTCGGTAGGAAGCGGGGAGGCCGGAGCTGCGGGCGTGGGGACCTGGCGGCCCCTGAAGCGCAAGCTGGCTGGCAGCAGGTGTGCGGGGCATCCCTGTCACGTGGCCGAACAGCCTGGGGCGCGCGGAGCCTGGCAGGGGGCGGGGCGCACGCAGGCCACACCCCCTTCAGACTCCAGCCCGGGCATTGGAGCGGGGCCAAGGCGTAGTGCACCTCTGGAAGGTCCAACCTGAAGGGTGGTTCAAAGGAGTGTTGGGCACCCTCAAATTAGGGGAAAACTGGGGAGCACCCTCTCCTTCCCCAGGGCGGAGGTTACTACAATTATAAGCGGGGAGCCGGTGCCCCTGAGGAAGGAGATCGTGAATGAGATTAAGATGGAGGGGCTTGGGATTCCTGGGAGCCCCAGGTGCCAGCTTGAAACGGTGGAGTCTGGGCAAATGAGCTTGTGTGAAGACGGTGGCTTCTGGGCCTGGCCCTGACCCAGATTGCAGTGAGAGTTCCCGCAGGCCCCGCCTCTTTCTGGGCCTCGTGTCTCCCGGCCGCCCGGCCGGGTGCGAGGCCTTACCCCTCTGGTCTGCTGCAGGATGGGCCTCTCCGCTGCGGCCCCGCTGTGGGGCCCCCCGGGGCTGCTCCTGGCCATCGCCCTGCACCCAGCGCTGTCGGTGCCCCCGCGCCGGGACTACTGCGTGCTGGGCGCTGGGCCCGCGGGCCTGCAGATGGCCTACTTCCTGCAGCGCGCTGGACGCGACTATGAAGTGTTCGAGCGCGCCCCGCGGCCCGGCAGCTTCTTCACGCGCTACCCGCGGCACCGCAAGCTCATCAGCATCAACAAGCGGTACACTGGCAAGGCTAACGCCGAGTTCAACCTCCGCCACGACTGGAACTCTCTGCTCAGCCACGACCCCCGGCTGCTCTTCAGACAGTACTCACGTGCCTACTTCCCCGACGCCCGCGACATGGTGCGCTACCTGGGTGACTTCGCGGACACACTGGGGCTCCGTGTCCAGTACAACACCACCATCGCCCACGTCACTCTGGACAAGGACCGACGGGCCTGGAATGGCCACTACTTCATCCTAACCGACCAGAAGGGCCAGGTGCACCAGTGCAGGTAAGGCCTGTGCCTGAGCTCACCTGCAGAAGCTGGGACCTTCCCCACACGAACCACACACCTTGATTGGCCAGTAGGTGTGGGAGGAATGGAAGAAAATGGGTATTTCGCTTTTTTTTTTTTTTTTTTGAGACGGAGTCTCACTCTGTCGCTGAGGCTGGAGTGCAGTGGCAGGAGCTCGGCTCACTGCAATCTCCGCCTCCCTGGTTCAAGCGATTCTCCTGCCTCAGCCTCCGCAATAGCTGGGACTACAGGCACGCACCACCACAACTGGCTAATTTTTTATATTTTTGGTGGAGATGAGGTTTCACAATGTTGGCCAGGCTGGTCTTGAACTCCTGACCTCAGGAGATCCACCCACCTCAGCCTCCTCAAATGCTGGGATTACAGGTATGAGCCACTGCACCCAGCCTTCGATTCTATTTTTGAAACCACCCTGTGATCAAAGCATTCTTCTGCAGGCCGGCAGGATCTAAGTCCCCAGCTGCCCTCCCCTGGATGGCGATCCTTACCAATGGAAGGAGCAGGACTTTGAAATCAGGCCTACATGTGTTTAGACTCTGGCTCTGCTGCCTTTACAAGCTTTTAGGCCACGGACCTGAAGAGCCTGTGCCTCCTCACCTGTAAAGCAGGCCATGTACCACCTCCAGGTTGCTTGGAGGAGTCAGTAAGATGGTGCACAGATACACTTAGTACAGGGCCTGGTACAGAATTACTGCTCAGTAGATAGATGCATCCATCAGAGAACTCAGAAAGGGGAAAGTAGAACATCAGGTTTCCTTTCATCACCAAGGGTGATACCTGGTCTGACTGTTGTGTGCAAAGTTAGGTGAATTCTCCATTTCTCATAATGTCATCTTCTCCTCTCTCACAGAGCAAAATTAACCCCCAGTACAGTGCTAGGGAAAATACTGTGAGCTCAGGGAGAGGCAAGGGCAGAGCCTCTCAAGTGCACTGGAGTGAGGGCGTAAACAAATGAATGAATTAACAAATGAATGAATGAATGTCCTATTTTCTTTTAGCGGCCAGTGGTTGGAGTGAGGCAGGTGGGTGGGTGGGTCCAGGGAGTGGTTTTCCCTTAGTGATCTTATAGCTAAGAGACTAAGCCGTCTTTCCTTTGTCCCTGCCTGCAGTGTCCTCCTTGTAGCCACTGGCTTATCAGTCCCCAACCAGGTTGACTTCCCTGGCTCCGAAAACGTGGAGGGTTACGAGTCTGTGTCCATAGACCCTGAGGACTTTATAGGCCAGAATGTGCTGATCCTGGGCCGTGGGAACTCAGCCTTTGAGACGGCAGAGAACATCTTGGGTGTCACAAACTTTATCCACATGCTCAGCCGCTCCCGGGTCCGTCTGTCCTGGGCCACCCACTACGTTGGAGACCTCAGGTAGGCCACATCCCTGCGTGTGTGTTCTGTGCTGGGAGTCCAGAGTGTGAAAAGAGCCTCCCCAACCCTCCCCTGCCCTTCCTGACCCCAGCTGCACTGCCCAACTTTCCTCTGAGTCTCTCTCCCTGCATTCTCTGTGGGCCCAGAGCCATCAACAATGGCCTGCTGGATACCTACCAGCTGAAGTCCCTGGATGGGCTGCTCGAGTCTGACCTGAGGGATCTGGCCATCCTGAAGGATAGCAAAGGCAAGTTCCATGTCACCCTGAAATTCTTCCTGGAAGAAGCCAGCACCAACCAGAGTGCCGACGCCATCACCCTCCCCCAGGACGACAATGACAACTTTGCCATGCGCGTGCCCTATGACCGAGTCATCCGCTGCCTGGGCTGGAACTTTGACTTCTCCATTTTCAATAAGTGAGTTCCATGCGGGAGGAGGTGGGCTCTCCTAGCGAACCCTCCTGACCCCTCCCTAGGGGAACAGAGTGGCTGTTCAGTAGGCTGGCGACAGAGCTTTCAGGACAGCACCCTAAGAATGGATGTGAGTGCTGCCTGGTTTCCCTCCAGGACATGAGCTCTCTCACCGTTGAGGGTCCCAGGTGGCCCTGAGGCCCTTGGTCCTAGAGCAGTACCAGCAGATCTTCATCGGCATTGGGAGCCTCCACCTGTGAGATGGAAAGGCCAGCTCAGACTCAGAGAGAATACAGAGGGGAATTTGCTGGAAGGCAGTGTAGCGTAGTGGCTGAGAGCACAGGTGCAGGAATTGTCTTGAGAGTCTCAGTTTGCCAAATCTGTGACCTCGTTGAAAGTTATTTAACCAGGCTGTGGCCCAGTATCCTCATCTCTAAAATGGGATTCTAAGTTTCTTTCTCATATGGTTATTGTGAGGATTAACATAAGAATGTGCTTGGAGGCTGGGTGCGGTGGCTCACACCTATAATCCCAGCACTTAGGGAGGCCAAGACAGGCAGATCACTTGAGGTTAGGAGTTCGAGACCAGCCTGGCCAACATGGTGAAACCCCGTCCGTACTAAAAATATAAAAAAATTAACCAAGCGTGGTGGTGGGTGCCTGTAATCCCAGCTACTTGGGAGGCTGAGGTGGGAGAATCGCTGGAACCTGGGAAGTGGAAGTTGCAGTGAGCCGAGATCACGTCACTGCACTCCAGCCTGGGCAACAGAGTGAGACTCCATCTCAAAATAAGAAGAGTGTGCGCAGATGCCAGGCACGGTGGCTCATGGTCTCACACCTGTAATCCCAGCAGTTTGGGAGGCCAAGGCGGGCATATTACTTCAGTTCGGGAGTTCAAGACTCACCTGGGCAACATAGTGAAACCCCATCTCTACAAAAAATACAAAAATTAGCCAGGTATGTTGACACATGCCTGTGGTCCCAGCTACTCAGGAGGCTGAGGTGGGAGGACTGCTTGAGCCCAAGAAGTCGAGGCTGTGGTGAGCTAAGATCATGCCTCTGCATTCCAGCCTGGGCAACAGAGTGAGACCCTGTCTCAAACAAAAAAAGAGATGGCCGGGCACAGTGGCTCACGCCTGTATTCCCAGCACTTTGGGAGGCCAAGGTGGGCAGATCATGAGGTCAGGAGTCCAAGATCAGCCTGACCAACATAGTGAAACACCGTCTCTACCAGAAATACAAAAAATTAGCCGGGCATGGTGGCACGTGCCTGTAATCCCAGCTACTCAGGAGGCTGAGGCAGGAGAATCGCCTGAACCTTGGAGGCGGAGGTTGCAGTGAGCCAAGATCGCGCCATTGTGCGCTCCAGCCCAGGCGATAGTGTGAGATCTCTGTCTCAAAAAAAAAAAAAAAAAAAAAAGAGAGAGGAGACAAAGGAGGGGGGGAGAGAAAGAAAGGAAAGAAAGTGCTGGGAGCTAGGTGCAGTGATGAGTACCTAGCTACTCAGGAGGCTGAGGCAGGAGGATCACTGGAGCCCAGGAGGTCAAGGCTGCAGTGTGCTATGATCATGCCTGTGAATAGCAGCTGCACTCCAACCTGGGCAACATAATGAGACATAAGAGATAGGGATCTCTTAAATCAGAGAAAGTACTTGGCATATATCATGTGCTTAATAAAATGTTAGTTGCTAAAGTTATTTATCACTGTATCTTGAAGGGCTGTTTTATGAAGCCTAGACTTTAAACATTGCTGCCAACTATCTCAGGAGGTTTGGTATCAAAGCACCATCCAGTCTTTCATTTGCCTTCTGACCAGGGTGCAGAAAGACAAAGGAGAAGCTGTTGTGCCTGTCCAGACCCTCCTTTCCATGGGCCTCCCAAAATTCTAGGATTACAGACGTGAGCCACTGCACCTGGCCTGACCTCGTTGTTTTTTTTGCTTTTTTGCTTTTTTGGTTTTGTTTTTTTTTTTTTTGAGACAGTCTCACTCTGTTGCCCAGGCTGGAGTGCAATGGCATAATCTTGGCTCACTGCAACCTCTGCCTCCCAGGTTCAAGTGATTCTCCCGCCTCAGCCTCCCAAGTAGCTGGGATTACAGCCATGCACCGCCACCCCCAGCTAACTCTTTGGGTATTTTTTCGTAAAGGTGGGGTTTCACCATGTTGGCCAGGCTGGTCTCGAACTCCTGACCTTGTGATCCACCCGCCTCGGCCTCCCAAAGTGCTGGGATTACAGGAGTGAGCCACCTCGCCCGGCCGACTTCATCTCTTAAGTGGAGATGGTAATACCCATCTGCTAGGGTCATGGTGAGGTTTAAATGAGACGAGAAAAGTAAGGCACTCAGTGCCAGTAATAAGTGCCACTGTAATAAGTGCCTCCTGGCTGGGTGCAGTGGCTCACACCTATCATCCCAGCACTTTGGGAGGCCGAGGCAGACGGATCACATAAGGTCAGGATATCGAGGCCAGCCTGGCTAACGTGGTGAAATCTTGTCTCTACTAAAAATATAAAAATTAGCTGGGCACGGTGGCGGAGCCTATAATCCCAGCTATTCAGGAGGCTGAGGCAGAAGAATAGTTTGAACCCAGGAGGCAGAGGTTGCAGTGAGCCGAGATCGTGCCATTGTACTCCAGCCTGGGCGACAAGCGAAACTCCATCTCAAACTAATTAAATAAGTGCCTCCCACATAGCAGCTATTTTCATCAACAGCCCTTTCCACTGACAGGTCCCTCCGACTTAACTCGGGAAATGCATTCGGCAAGAAGTACCCGCTAATTCGAGCTAGCTACGAATCCAAAGGAAGCCGGGGTCTGTTTATCCTGGGTACCGCCAGCCACTCGGTGGACTACCGGAAATCTGCTGGGGGCTTCATCCACGGATTCCGATACACAGGTGAGCCCAGCTGAGAAGGCAGAACTGTCCCCAGGCAGAACCACTCTCAGCATCCCAGGGCTTATAAATCTGCTTCTATGTCCAGAAGCATTAGGGGATTGCTTGTCAGTAGCTCATTGTCATAAATTGTCTTGGGGAAGTGACAGCAGGTTTTTGTGGTCTGAAGACACGTCTAGGGAAGTATCAGATAAAGTGTAAAAGTCCACGGCTGTAATCCTAGCTACTTGGGAGGCTAAGGCAGGAGGATCCCTTGAGTCCAGGAAGTCGAGGTTGCAGTGAGCCGTGATGATGCCACTGCACTCCAGCCTGGGCGACAGAGCAAGACCCGGTCTCAAAAAGTAAAATAAAACCAAGCGTAAGCTGGGTGTGGTGGCTCACGCCTATAATCTTAGCACTTTGGGAGGCCAAGGCAGGTGGATTGTTTCAGGCCAGGAGTTCAAGACCAGCCTGGGCAACATGGCGAAACCCTGTCTCTACTAAAAATACAAAAATTAGCCAGGTGTGGTGATGTATGCCTGTAGTCCCAGCTACTCAGGAGGCTGGGGCATGAGAATTGCTTGAACCCGGGAGGTCGAGGTTGCAGTGAGCCAAGATCACAGCACTGCACACCAGCCTGGGCAACAGAGTCAGACCCTGTCTCAAAAAAAATTAAAATCAAGCATAAAAGTAGATACATCTGGAAGTGCTATGTTATGTGCATAATCCCCAGACAGGTTAAGTATCCTGTGTTGGCAGGAACGCTGAGCTTGAAGAATGTGAACCTGGTTCCTCCCCAGCTGGGTGGTCCTAGAGGTGAAGCTTCCAAGCCCCTGATGGACATCCTAACATCACAGATGGAAATGAGGTGAACTCTCCACCATCGTGGGTCCATCGTGAGGGCTAAATAAGGCAATACCTGGCCACCAAGCAGCTATGAAGCTCCATGCCCATATAGACAATTTGGGTACTGACACATTTCAATAAAAATTGCAATCGGGGCCAGACGCAGTGGCTAACACCTGTAATCCTAGCACTTTGGGAAGCCGAGGCAGACAGATCACCTGAGGTTGGGCGTTCGAGACCAACCTGACCAACATGGAGAAACTCTGTCTGTACTAAAAATACAAAATTAGTCGAGTGTGGTGGCGCATGCCTGTAATACCAGCTACTCGGGAGGCTGAGGCAGGAGAATCGCTTGAACCTGGGAGGTGGAGGTTGCGGTGAGCTGAGATCACACCATTGCACTCCAGCCTGGGCAACAAGAGCAAAACTCTGTCTCAAAAAAAAAAAAAATTGCAATTGTATTATATCAGTTCTTTTTCAAAACTCTCAGTACCAAGGGTATAAATTTTCTGCTAACTTGAGAATGTTTACAAAGAAAATACTCAAATATATTTTTAAAACATAATTATATTTATTACACTAAAATAATCCCCAACCAAAAATTGATATTTGCGATTTTAAGAATAAATGGGAAATAAAAAGGAAGTGAGAGAAATGAATTCACGCATGTTGGGTGACTTCAGTGGGCTGGGCACTGAAAACACAACCCTGGCAGGGCCGCCAACACCCCGAAAGGTGGGTGTGAAATCTCCATTTTCCTCAGAGTGTGAAACTCAGGCTCAGAGTTTTCGTGATTTTCTCACCATCATGGGAATTAAACTCCCAAGACCCAGGCGCTTTCTTGAAAGACACTTTCTACAAAGGTCTTCTCTTCTTTCATAGAAAGCAAACCGGTGCCCTCTCTATGGAGAGGAGTCTAAAATGTTAGATGTGGCCAGGCGCGGTGGGTCACATCTGTCATCCCAGCACTTTGGTAGACTGAGGTAGGCGGATCACCTGAGGGCAGGAGTTTGCGACCAGCCTGGCCAATATGGTGAAATCCTATCTCTAATTAAAGTACAAAATTAGCCGGGCGTGGTGGCGGCCACCTATAATCCCAACTGCTCGGGAGGCTGAGGCAGGAGAATCACTTGAACCTTGGAGGTGGAGGTTGCAGCGAGCCAAGCCCACACCATTGCACTCCGGCCTGGGCAAAAAGTGAAACTCCGTCTCAAAAATAAATAAATAAATAAAAATTAGATATTCCCTTTCCTGTGGTTAACCTTCTGAGAAGGACAGGGTATTGGTTGAAATTCACTCAGTGAGGCATACAATATTCAGTTAGGTGAGTCTATTTGAAAGAATGGAGTCAAAATCTTACAGCTGAGCTTTAAAAAATTAGTAGTAGTAGTATTTTTTGAGACAATGTCTTGTCCTGTTTCCCAGGCTGACATACAATGGCACCGTCTCAACTCACTGCACCCTTGACTTCCCAGACTCAAGCCATCCTCCCACCTCAGTCTTCTGAGTGGCTGGAACTTCAGGCACACACCACCACACCCAGCTAATTTTGTTGTTTTTATTTTTATGTAGTAGAGACAAGGTTTCGCCATGTTGCCGAGGCTGGTCTCAGACTCCCAAGCTCAAGCGATCCACCTACCTCAGCCTCCCAGAGTGTTGGGATTACAGGCATGAGCCACCACGCCTAGCCTGAGCATCAGAAATGTGAAAATATAGGGAACTAGGGGGAGTAATCTTTTATTCTGCCACTCAAAGACATTCTATGTTTATATTTCTTTTTTCTTTTTAAAGACAGTAAGGTAGGCTGGATGTGGTGGCTCATGCCTATAATCCCAGCATTTTGGGGGGCCGAGGCCAGCAGATCAGCTTAGGTCAGGAGTTTGAGACCAGCCTGACCAACATGGTGAAACCCATCTCTACTAAAAATACAAAAATTAACCAGGCTTGGTGGCACACACCTGTAATCCCTACTACTTGGGCGGCTGAGGCAGGAGAATCACTTCAATCCAGGAAGCGGAGGTTGCAGTGAGCCAAGATCGCACCACTGCACTCCAGCCTGGGCGACAGATTGAGACTCTGTCTCAAAAATAATAATAAAAATGAAGACAGTAAGGTGGACTTTATTCCAGGTTAGAAGACTATAATAATAGGTGTAGGACCACTGCAGAAGGGTCTTACAGTATGGGCAAAGGATTGGACTCAATTCTGGGAGTCAGTTCCTCCTGGAATCCGGGAGGCAGAGGTTGCAGTGAGCTGAGATCGCGCCACTGCACTCCAGCCTGGGCAACAGAGCGAGACCCTGTCTTTAAAAAAATAAAATATATGGCCGGGTGCGGTGGCTCAAGCCTGTAATCCCAGCAGTTTGGGAGGCCGAGACGGGCGGATCACGAGGTCAGGAGATCGAGACCATCCTGGCTAACACGGTGAAACCCCATCTCTACTTAAAAAAAAAAAAAAAAAAAACTAGCCGGGCGAGGTGGTGCGCGCCTGTAGTCCCAGCTACTCGGGAGGCTGAGGCAGGAGAATGGTGTAAACCCGGGAGGCGAGCTTGCAGTGAGCTGAGATCACGCCACTGCACTCCAGCCTGGGCGACAGAGCGAGACTCCATCTCAAAAAAATAAAAAATAAAAATAAAATAAATAAAAAATATTTTAAAAAAGAACTTAGAGGGATTTAGGCTGTGAAAGAGAGGGCGAAATCAAAGATTTCCATAGGCGCATGTCTGATGGAAACAGAGCTGTGACGGGAGGAAGGTTTCTGGGGAAGGCCCTGTGTCAGACTTGACGTTCCTTATGTGAGGTGGGGTGAATGGGACTCCCACGTGCAGATGGCCTGAAGCAAGGGCAGATAGACTCTGGCCTGGAGACCAAATCCAGCTGTGCTCACTCCTTTGCCTGTTGTCTTGGCCGCTTTTACACTAGGGGCAGAAGTGAGCAGCATCACTGTATGCTGTATGTGTATGACCCACAAAGCAAGAGAATATGGATTGTCTGGTCCTTTCCAGAACATACCTGCTGGCCCGGCTTTAAAGGCAGCTGCCATCTCCTCCCCTCATGTGTTCACCACCTACACATTTGCTCTGGGCCATGCAGACCAGTGTGTATGGCATTCTCAGGGGTTGATGAGACCTGGGCATCCCTCCCAGTGACCAGAGATAAAATCCTAAGTGCAGCATGCCCTTCCTTCCTCTGGCTGTTCCAGTGCGTGCTGTTCACCGGCTCCTGGAGCACCGCCACCACAGCGTCGCCTGGCCTGCCACCGAGCTCCCCATCACACAGCTGACCAGCTCCATCGTGCGGCGCGTGAATGAGGCTTCTGGGCTCTACCAGATGTTCGGTGTGCTGGCCGATGTCATCCTGTTGAAGGAGTGAGTAGCCTATCCCAGTCCTACTCCCCTCGGCCCAGCTTCCCCCACACACTGCATAGCGCTTCTCTTCCTATTCCAGGTGCGGGGTGCCCAGTTCTTTCCTAAGATGAAGGCTGCTGGGGGAAACATGTCTGTTCTGGGGAAAAACAGTGCTATCAACTCTACAGACAGTCCTATGAGTGGCCATGGGCACATTAGTGAGCCTCTCTGAGCCCTTCTTCCTCATCTGCAAAATGGGGAAATTGTGCCTACCTTGCAGCAAGAAAGGAAGGAGTAAAGGTCACTTGTGGAAAGTGTTTGGCATCACGCGGATGAGCAGTAGTCAGAGGCAGCCGCGTGGATCTCAGAGCTCCCTCAGGCCAGGGCCTTGCCAGCCACCATCATCAGCATCAATTTAGTGATAAGCAGCAGATCACAGAGGATGGACAGTCCCTGAAAAGGAAACGGTGCAGGGCACAGAGGGGTGAGGGGCAAGGGGAGACAGGTGGCAGGGAGAAGCAGGGGAACAACCTTCAGTCAGAGGGAACAGCCCGATCCAAAGGCAGGACGTGCTATAGCATACCAGGTTCAGGGACATGCAGGTAGCACAGCTGTACTCTGCACAAAACCTTCGCATCACCCTCCATGCCCCTGCCCCTGTCTTTTTTTTCTTGAGACAGAGTCTTGCTCTGTCACCCAGGCTGGAGTACAGTGGCGTGATCTCGGCTCACTGCAATCTCCACCTCCTGGGTTCAAGCAATTCTCCTGCCTCAGCCTCCCAAGTAGCTGGGATTACAGGTACCCGCTACCATGCCCGGCTAATTTTTTTTTTTTTTGACTCAGAGTCCCTCTGTGTCTTGCCCAGGCTGGAGTGCAGTGGTGTGATCTTGGCTCACTGCAGCCTCCACCTCCCAGGTTCAAGCGATTCTCATGTCTCAGCCTCCTGAGTAACGGATTACAGGCGCATGCCACCACACCCGGCTAATTTTGTATTTTTAGTAGAGACTGGGTTTCACCATGTTGGCTAGGCTGGTCTCAAACTCCTGACCTCGGGTGATCTACCCACCTTGGCCTCCGAAAGTGCCGGGATTACAGGCATGAGTCAGTGTGCCCGGCACCCCTGTCTCGAATGACACCCAACATGCAAACAATGGGCAAGTCTTGTTACCTCTCCCTTCAGATGATGTCTGGAACCCAGCCAGCTCTCACCTGCTCTACCACCACCATCTCGGTCCCGATCACCAGGCTCCACCACCTGCACCCATATGACAGCCGCCCCACTTGGCCTGGGGTCTGTTCCCAGCACAGTAACCAGAGTGGTCCTTAGAAACCTGAGGCACGCTGATCCTAGCTCTGCTTAGTCCTCCCCAGCGACCAGCAGCATCACTTCTCAGGCCAGACGACCCTTCATGTCTCGTCATGGGAGGCACAGCCCTCCTTGATCTGACCTCTCAGGCCTCTGAACCCCTCTCCTGCCCCTGCCCCTTGTTCAGTCCCCTCAGCCACATCGGCCTCTTCTGTTCCTTGAACACAAAGTGCTCACATACTCCTCAGGGCTTTTTCCTGACTATTCTCTCTGCCTGAGACACTCTTTCCCCAGATATCCCATTCAGGTTACATGGAATTTTCTGGACTCTACCCCACATGTGTGTGAGAGCTCAGCTGAAACGGTAATGTTAAGTGAGGGGTGCACTGCTTGATTGACGCTCCTTAGAGGGGAGATACACATGCACACACGCATGCTTACCCCGTGCCGCACCCCTCACCTCTGCCACAGCACTGAGGGCCTCCCCCGTGTTGCCGTTCTCCCAGGAATGCCATGGCCTTTGAGTACCTGGAGGAGTTCCCCATACAGATGCTGGCCCAACTGGAGACACTCACAGGGAGGAAGGCAAGGCACGGGCTCTTCGTCATCAACATGGAATATGGCAGAAATTTCTCTGGCCCCGACAAGGACGTCTTCTTTGATGACCGGTCTGTGGGGCACACGGAAGACGCCTGGCAGTCTAACTTCCTCCATCCTGTCATCTACTACTACAGATACCTCCCCACCGGTGAGCAGGTCTCTGCCCTCCCCCAACCTGTGGGCTCCTCAGACCTCACCCTCTGCAGGGTTGTCACCCACCCTGAAACCTTCACACACACGCTCAGCTGACTCGGGACTCCGCCTAGAGACCACTTGGGCAGAAGGTCCGAGAACGATAAATGATGCTTCCAGATTCTGACACATACTGTGACTGGCACAGGACACGTGGGGAGTGTCGTGCTCTCCGCCAGCCACCGTGTAGTAAGAGGGACACGGCCCTGCTGCAGGTCTCCAGAGGAGGCTGACCATGGTGGGGTGGGAGGGGTCTGAAGAGTGAGGGAACCAGAGCTCGTTAACATGGTATAGAGAAACTGGGCAAAATCCCTGGGCCTGTCCTTTTGTTACTGTGTGACCTTGGACCATTACTTAACCTCTCTGAGCCTCAACCTCCCCTCTGTAAAATGGGGATTACGACAGTACCTTTCTTGTAGGGTTCCATGAGGTTAACTCTGACAGCATACACAGAATGCCAGCCCGGTGCAGGCACAGAGTAGCTACTGATAAACGAACAACCTCGGGAACGCACCCCCTGCTTCAGAGCTTGAAGGGCAGTCAGGTGGAAGAGGGTGGTTTAAACGGGTTGTTCCCAAAGGCAGAAGTCATGTCAGCAGGTAGCAGCGACAGGGGTGCAGGTCTGTGGTCAGTATAAGGAGGCACTAAGAGGCTGGGCACAGTGGCTCACGCCTGTAATCTCAGCACTTGGAGAGGCCAAAGCAAGCGGATTACAAGGTCAGGAGTTCAAGACCAGCCTGGCCAAACCAGCCTGGCCAAAATGGTGAAACCCCATCTCTAAAAACGTGAAAAAAATACAAAAATTAGCTGGGCATTGTGGCACATGCCTGTAATCCCAGCTATTCAGGAGGCTGAGGCAGGAGAATTGCTTGAACTAGGATCCAGGAGGCGGAGGTTGCAGTGAGCCAAGATTACGCCACTGCACTCCAGCCTGGGCTACAGAGCAAGACTTTCTCAAAAAAAAAAAAAAAAAGGCTGATCGCAGTCGCTCACGCCTGTAATCCCAGCACTTTGGGAAGCTAAGGTGGGCGGATCACGAGGTCAGGAAGTTGAGACTATCCTGGCCAATATAGTGAAACCCCGTCTCTAATAAAAATACAAAAATTAGTCGGGCATGATGGCGGGCGTCTGTAGTCCCAGCTACTAGGGAGGCTGAGGCAGGAGAATCGCTTGAATCCAGGAAGCAGAGGCTGCAGTGAGCCAAGATTGTGCCACTGCACTCCAGCCTGGGCGACAGAGCGAGACTCTGTCTCAAAAAAAAAAGTTACAGCTGTTCAGTGGGGGAATTGGTCACCTCCAAATTCAGGTTTCCCAGAATAGCGATGGCCAAGTCATGACTCGATGGCCGTCTGACTGGGACACCACAGAAGGGAGTCCACAGCAGCGGGAAGCTGAACTAGATGAGTGCTGAGACCCCTTGCCTCGCCTCTGAGTCTTCTCACAGAAAGGCCAGTTTGAAAGCAGCCACAGCCAGGCGCAGTGGCTCACGCCTGTAATCCCCGCACTCTGGGAGCCTGAGGCAGCTGGGTCACCTGAGGTCAGGAGTTTGAGACCAGCCTGGCCAACATGGTAGAGACTGGAACCCCGTCTCTACTAAAAATGTAAAATATTAGCTGGGTGTGGTGGCGGGTGCCTGTAAACCCAGCTTCTCTGGAGGTTGAGGAACAAGAATCGCTTGAACCCAGGAGGTGGAGGTTGCAGTGAGCCTAAATTGTGCCACTGCACTACAGCCTGGGCAATAGAGTGAGACTCTGTCTCGAATAATAATAAAAAATAAAAATGAAGCAGCACAATAGATCTCAGTCCATGTGAGTGTTAGAGAAACGCCAGCCTGAAGTTACTAGTTACAGCACTGCCTTCCGAAACCACAAGGGAAAAGCCTAGTTCCTCTTCCTCATGGCAGCCTTTCAAATATCAGCAGGTGGCTCTTGAACAGGCTGACCACAGCCCAGCCTGGGAGGCTGTCGGGAAAGCCGAGCACGAGCGAGTGAGGGCAGTGTTTGGGCTGTGTGGGATCCGTGCTGTGTCGGCCCGAGGAGGGGAAGCCCAGCCTCGCGGCTCTGACGTGGCCCCTCTCTCCTCCCCACAGAACAGGAGGTGAGGTTCCGCCCTGCACACTGGCCCCTGCCTCGGCCCACAGCCATCCACCACATCGTGGAAGACTTCTTAACAGACTGGACCGCCCCGATCGGGCACATCCTACCTCTGAGGCGCTTCCTGGAGAACTGTTTGGACACCGATTTGCGAAGCTTCTATGCAGGTAATTTAAGCTCCCAGAAGGACAAAGGGTCTAAGCTCGAGGTTGAAGAAAGGTCGCAGAGACCCAAGCCCCATGGAGTTTCAGGACCCATATCTGGAAATCCAAACCCCAGACTACCATTCCTGACAATGCCGTGGGCTAAATTACAATATACCTAAAAATACTGGATAATGTATCTTCTTTTTTTTTTTTGAGACAGAGTCTCACTTTGTTGCCCAGGCTGGAGTGTAGTGGCGCAATCTCAGCTCACTGCAACCTCCACCTCCCGGGTTCAAGCAATTCTCCTGCCTCAGCCTCCTGAGAAGCTGGGACTACAGGTGCATGCCACCATGCCTGACTAAGTTTTGTATTTTTTAGTAGAGACAGGGTTTCACCATATTGACCAGGCTGATCTCGAACTCCTGACCTTGTGATCAGCCTGCCTCAGCCTCCCAAAGTGTTAGGATTACAAGCGTGAGCCACCGCTCCCAGCCAATAATATGTCTTTTCAAAAGAATTAACAGGGCAAGGCACCGTGGCTCGCACCTGTAATCCTAGCACTTTGGGAGGCCAAGGCAGGTGGATCACAAGGTCAGGAGTTCAAGACCAGCCTGACCAACATGGTGAAACCACATCTCTACTAAAAATACAAAAATTAGCCAGACATGGTAGCGCGCCTGTAGCCCCAGCTACTCGGGAGGCTGAGGCAGGAGAATTGCTTGAACCCGGGAGGCGGAGATTGCAGTGAGCCATGATCCACCACTGTGTTCTAGCCTGGGTGACAAAGGCGAAACTCCGTCTCAAAAAAAATAAAAAGGGGGCTGGGCGCAGTGGCTCACACCGGTAATCCCAGAACTTTGGGAGGCCGAGGCAGGCAGATCACGAGGTCAGGAGATTGAGACCATCCTGGCTGACACGGTGAAACCCCGTCTCTACTAAAAATGCAAAAAAACTGGCCGGGCATTGTGGCTGGCGCCTGTAGTCCTAGCTGCTCGGGAGGCTGAGGCAGGAGAATGGCACGAACCCAGGAGGCAGAGCTTACAGTGAGCCAAGATCACGCCACTGCACTCCAGCCTAGGCAATACAGCGAGACCCTGTCTCAAAAAAAAGGAAAAGGTTAGCAGGGGCTAGTAGTGATTTCTGTTTAAAAAAATATAGAAAGAGAGATATCTATGTATACTTAAAGAACTGGCAGGGAAATAAGGCCACTCCCCAGAGGCCAGACCTGAAAAAAGCACTAAACCTGCTGAGCTGGACCCCTGCCAGTCATCAAGAGCCCAGAGTCTGGGTTTTAATAGACCACCCCTTGGGGTGGAAGACAGAGCTGGAGCAGGATGGGAGGCCTGTTTAGAGATACGCAAATAAAGCTTGGATCTCAGTAGGAAAGCTGGGAGCCAAAACCCTTCGAGAGAGGAGATAGATGAGACGCATGGTTTTGGTCCTAGATAGAGTGGGAGAGAAAATCTCTGAAAATATCCAACCAGTAGGCCCCACTTGTGTAAATCTGGGGCCAAACTTCATGAGATCATTGAGCTGTAGAAATCACAGAAGCAAATGCACACCTTCTCAAAAAATACACTTTTAGGCCAGGTGCAGTGGCTCACGCCTGTAATCTCAACACTTTGGGAGACCGAGGTGGGTGAATCACCAGAGGTCAGGAGTTCGAGACCAGCGCTGGCCAACATGGTGAAACCCCATTTCTACTAAGAGTACAAAAATTAGCTGGGGGTGGTGGTGGGCGCCTGTAATCCCAGCTACTCGGGCGGCTGAGGCGGGAGAACCACTTGAACCCGGAAGGCGGATGTTGCAGTGAGCCAAGATCATGCCACTGCACTCCAGCCTGGGCAACAGAGCGAGACTCCCTCTCAAAAACAACAGCAAACAACAAAAATGCCAGGGTGTGTGAGAGAGTGAATTCCAACCCTGAGTTGTGGGTTCCACTGATGCATCATCCCAGGCCCTTTAGCCTCCTGTCTCCCACTTTCTAGACACTGTTTTAACTGTACAGGCCACTGTGTGCTGCTGCCTTGGACTGGAGAGAATACCCGCAGCAGAAGGCCGGTGGCATAGTGGCAGCCGTCCCTCCGTTCTGTAGCTGATGTGCAGCTGCTAGTGCTGGCCCCAGGTTCTGCTGAGCCCCTGCAGAGGGGATGATGTCGTCAGAAGGTGGTGCCTGCCAAACGGCCACCTTGCTGCCCTCCCAGTCTTCCCGCTGTCCTCTCGCGCATCTGCTGTCTTCCCTGCTTGGAGAGGATTGCCATGGCCTGGCCAGCCAGGGGCCTCCAAGCTAAAAGTCAGAAATAAACAGGAAGTCATATTTCTGGAGCACCTTTCAGCCTGGTCACCCATGGAAGCCTCACGACATCCTTTGTACTGTGCCCATTTTCACTTGAGATAGAGGGGCTCAGGGAGGCGAGAAGGCTCGCTCAGAGTTACAGAAGGACTCCAGCCCATTCTGGACTCTCCGTCTGCCCTTCTTGTCTCTGACGCCCTCAGAAGGCTGAGCCCATATCTGCGTCAGCTTTTCTGTTTGTTTAAAGTCTTATAAGTACTTGGCTAAAAGACTTTTTCTCACTGTATTACTCTGTTCTCACATTGCTATAAAAAAAAATACCTGAGACTGTGTAACTTACAAAGAAACAGGTTTAATTGACTCACAGTTCTGCAGGCTGTATAGGACACATGGCAGCATCTATTTCTGGATGCTGGATCACGCCTGTAGTCCCAGCACTTTGGGAAGCCGAGACAGGCTGATCACTTGAGGTCAGGAGTTCGAGACGAGCCAGGCCAACATGGTGAAACCCAGTCTCTATTTAAAAAACAAAAAAATTAGCTGGGTGTGGTGGCGGGCACCTGTAGTCCCAGCTACTGGGGAGCCTGAGGCAGGAGAGTCACTTGAACCCAGAAGGCAGAGGTTGCAGTGAGCCAGGATCGTGTCACTGAGGGAGACTCTGCCTTAAGAAAAAAAAAAAGAAACCGTTCCCATGATGCAGTCACCTCCCAACAGCCCCACCTCCAGCATTAGAGATTCCATTTCAACATGAGATTTGGGTGGGGACACAGACCCAAACTATATCACCCACCTTGCCTATTCCCTACCTTCATTCTCATTCCCACAAGGAACTCCCAGCCCTAGTGGTTGTTCCTTTTAGTAGCTTCTCTCTCCGCACGGCTTCTTTTGGTTGTTTCTTCGTGTTTCTTTTTTTTTTTTTTTTTTTTTTTTTTTTTTTGAGACAGAGTCTCTTGTCACCCAGGCTGGAATGCAGTGGCATGATCTCGGCTCACTGCAACCTCTGCCTCCTGGATTCAAGTGATTCTCCTGCCTCAGCCTCCCGAGTAGCTGGGACTACAGGCGTTCATCACCACGCCTGGCTAATTTTTGTATTTTTACTAGAGACGGGGTTTCTTTCTCATTGTGTTGGCCAGGCTGGTCTCGAAGTCCTAACCTCAGGCGATCCACCCACCTCGGCCTCCCAAAGTTCTGGGATTAAGGCGTGAGCCACCATGCCTGGCCGTTTCTTCATATTTCTACATGATAAGTATCCACAGCTATCTTATGATTGGACAAATTTGATGCAGGCACCAGCTTTCTGTTGTGGGATCAGTGAAGATATACCCGTTTATCTTTCTATCCCCACACTGTTTAGATCAGAACTTTGCACGTGGTATTTGCAACTCAAATGTGGAGGGAATGCATCTTTGCAGGCAGATCTGAGCTCACAGTGGGACTGACCACTGAGTTCCCAGCTGCACCAGGCCGAGGGTCTGTTCATGAGGGTCAGAGCCCTAACCCCTGTGTGGCCGCCTGCAAAGCCCCAGGCTCAGCCCTGATCTCTGGGAGCTGAGGCATTGCTCTGGTTTGCTTTCATTTTGGAGCCTTTTTCTTCCAGAGTGTCAAGGCAGTTCCCTGCCCTGGAGCCTCGTGGAGGGTCATGATTCATGACCTACTCAAGTTGGATGTGTGATGCCCAGAAAGGTCAGCTCCCAGTTTCAAGGGATGAAAGATACCAGGCGAGGCCCGCAGTGAAGCCTCCACACCTGGCATTGGCAGCTCCCCTTCCTGCACCCCTCCCCACCCATCCCAGCCTGGCTCATTCTCTTCGTTTTGCTTTTGTGTAGAGTCCTGCTTCCTGTTCGCCCTCACGCGCCAGAAGCTGCCACCCTTTTGCCAGCAGGGGTACCTGAGGATGCAGGGACTCGTGAGTACCAAGAGCCTTCGGCAGCACAGAGTGGAGAGCAGGCTTCTACGGGACGATGCCCCCATGGGCAGGGACCTGGAGGACAGCAGCCAGCATCCTGGCGACCAAGAGCTACTAGGTGCCCCCCTGGCTCCAGGGCCTCTGGCCCAGTCCCTCGATAGCAACAAGGAGGAGCTCTGACTGTCCCTTCCTAGGCTGTGGGCACAGTGGCCAGGCCTCCCCACCCAGGCCCATGGTCAGTTCCTCTTTCCCCGCAACCGGTGTGTGATTGCCAAAGACCACTCAGATCATGGCAGTGACTGCACCAAAGCCACCAGACGGCACGTGAAGGCTGCAAGTCGGGGATATGGTGGTCTCCTCCCTCCTGTCCGGGGGCAGAAGAAGGGCATCCTCCGCCAGGTGTGAGCTGCCTTCCTCAGCCCAGCTTCTCTGCAGTGGAGCGATCACTGAGCCCCAGGCCAGCCTGGTTCTGCCCCCTCTCAAGTGCTCCTCTTCCTTCCAGGCCCCCCCTCAGATGGGCCTGTGTCCCGCCTGTGGAGCGCTTCACAGGGGAAACCTATCTGCATCTTAAGGGTTTGTGGCAAGTGTTTTAAAACAAAAGCTCTCATATCCTCAACAACCATCATGGGCAGTTGCGATTGTTGCCCCAGACGACTGCTGAAGACACCAGCTGAGAGATGTCAAGTAATTCCCAGGGACCCCCAGCTGCGAGTCCCCGTCTGTGTCACTTGCCACACACTGCCTCAACTCCGCCCCATTTTCAGCAGTGTTTGAACTTAGCTACGGAGCCCAAGAGGGTCAGCCCTGCTTATCATCGTAGGCCCAGCAGGCTGCTCTCCAGCAGCAGTAGGACAGCTCCCTGAAAGCCATCTTATCTCAGCAACTTTCTCCTTGAGCAGCAAGATTCAGAGCTGCTCTCCCCAGTTGCACCCCCTGACTCATCTTCCAGCTGGCTCTTCTCCCCCACCCTACTCCCTGCCCTCTGCCATCCTAACCACGCCTTGCTTCTAACTTGCCTGGTCAAGTTTTGTAAAACGTATCCTGCTGTCTCTGTGGTGGGCACCCATATGTGCTCACCATGTGTAAGGTGACATTTCCTAATGCCTTTATGTGATAATGATGATGAATTTGGTTCCTAGTCTCTGCTTCATTGTCCTTCCTCACCAGCAGTCTGCATTCTCCCATCAGGCATCTTAGTCTCATTTATAAGGGCATACTATAATCACAGTGATTTTTCAAAGCCCAGGATCATAGGTGATTGCTTTTTCACTGGTTCTTACTAGCTCTTCATGGATCCACTCAGAATTCCAAGGACAATCGCAGCACTTAGGTCAGGAGTTTGAGACCAGCCTGACCAACATGGAGAAACCCCATCTCTAGTAAAAATACAAAATTAGCCAGGCGTGGTGGCACATGTCTATAATCCCAGCTATTTGAGAGGCTGAGGCAGGAGAATCACTTAAACCCAGGAGGCAGAGGTTGCAGTGAGCCGAGATAGCACCATTGCACTCCAGCCTGGGTAACAAGAGGGAAACTCCGTCTCAAAAAATAAATTAATTAAATTAAATTAAATTAAAGCATGCACTGGGTGCAGTTGCTCACACCTGTAATCCCAGCACATTGGGAGGCTGAAGCGGGCCGATCATCTGAGCTCAGGAATTCGAGACCAACCTTGCCAACATAGCAAAACCTGGTCTCTACTAAAGTTAAAAAAATTAGTTGGGCATGGTGGTGCATGCCTATAATCCCAGCTACTTGGGAAGCTGAGGCAGGAGAATTGCTGGAACCTGGGAGGCGGAGGTTGCAGTGAGCAGAGACCGAGCCACAGCATTCCAGCCTAGGTGACAAAGCAAGGCCTGCAGTGAAATCCCCATACCCCATCTCAAAAAAATAAGAAAGTATGCTACAACAAAAGTGAAAAAAAATTCTAAGAACCCAGGCTTTCTGGATCCAAAGCTCTTTCATGGGGACGTCCTCTTCCCCTCTTGGCTAGGTCCAGACTTTTTCTTTTTCTTTTTTTTTTTTTTTTTGCAATGGAGTTTCGCTCTTGTCACCCAGGCTGGAGTGCAATGGCACGATCTCGGCTCATTGCAACTTCTGCCTCCCGAGTCCAAACAATTCTCCTGCCTCAACCTCCTGAGTAGTTGGGATTACAAGCGCCTGCCACCACACCCAGCTAATTTTTGTATTTTTAGTAGAGACAGAGTTTTACCACGTTGGCCAGGCTGGTCTCAAACTCCTGACCTCAGGTGATCCACCTGTCTCAGCCTCCCAAAGTGTTGGGATTACAGGTGTGAGCCACCATGCCTGGCCCAGTCCAGACTTAACCACCTGGCCCCACTGTCTGCAGACACAGTTCCCTCCAGTTCTTCTCAGAGTTACAAGAAGAGGACTCCAGTAGCCTTATTCTGTCAGGGATAAATTATTTACTCCGTGATAATGTAGGATATAATAAATTCCTCTTCAAAGGTTTTAGCCTGTAAATTGTTAAGTACAATGAGTTCTGAGATCCTCTCCAAAGAACCAATGTATCAGTGTGTTCAGCTCCCCTGTTCTTTGTTCTTCATTTTAAAGTTTAATTTCCTCATTCTTTATGTCTCCTTGCCCCTAGTTTCAGTAAACAACCCCCTCCTACCCTCTGTCACCTGCTCTGACCTGAGTCACCTTTAGTCACCTGGTCCGGAACTGACTTTTCCATCAAAACTGCTCAGCCCACCACTCCGGCTCATACCCCTGCTCTCTTTAAAACAGCCAATAGAGCCAGGCGCGGTGGCTCAAGCCTGTAATCCCAGCACTTTGGGAGGCCAAGACGGGCAGATCACGAGGTCAGGAGATCGAGACCATCCTGGCTAACACGGTGAAACCCCGTCTCTACTAAAAAATTCAGAAAACTAGCTAGGCGAGGTGGTGGGCATCTGTAGTCCCAGCTACTCGGGAGGCTGAGGCAGGAGAATGGTGTAAACCCAGGAGGCGGAGCTTGCAGTGAGCTGAGATCCGGCCACTGCACTCCAGCCTGGGCGAAAGAGCGAGACTCCGACTCAAAAAAAAAATAAAATAAATAGCCAATAGGAATTAGCTTAGATTGTGTGGTCCAACCCTAGCCAACAGGGGAACAACACAGCAGTAGGGGCTACCTGCATCAGGGATAAGAACCCATTCCCCTCCCTCATCCAGGTGTGCTCTCTCCATTGCACCATCCACGAGAGGCACCCTTCTATACAAGTAAAATTGCCTTGCTGAGAAAATTTGAGTGCTGTTTCTTTTGTGGCAACGAAAATTTATTTCTAACAAATTTGGTGGCTTGTTTGGGATTCCCATTCTCCTCTGAGGAGGGTCTAGACCTCTCCCATGAGGAAGCATGCCCCGCTGCCTTGTTGCGGTGGTCACAGGGGTAAGGAATCGAGACCCACTGGTGTGACGAATAAACCTATACTCTCAGCAACGTGGAAAGAAACCGGCTGGTGACCTGGGGGAAAGGATCCTCACATACCACAGTGACCAAGTAACTCTCTGCACAGACCAAGGTAAGAAACATCGCAGGGGCGACAAAGTATTTCCTTGGTCCCAGGTCAGGATATTCTCGGGGTTGAAAGTGTGCGTGAATGCGAGGAGCCTCCAGCAGGTGGAGCTAAAGGATAGGTGAGACATCTCCAATAGGAGAGATTAAGCCTAACCAGGACCCAAGATGGGAAATGCCCCAAGTAAGGTAAGAGATAAAAAGGAGAAAGCTAGCAACAATAATATTCCCCCTAATAATCCCCTAGGCCTAATGTTAAAATATTAGAAGGATAATGAAAGGACCAAAAACAAAAAAAAAGCAGCTGCTGTCCCAGACCCTTCTCCTATCCCTGTTGTCCCCTTTCCTATAATCCTGCCTCTTGAGAATCGTCCCAAGAGCCCACTCACTACCAGCCTAAGCACCTTTCCCTAAAAGGACTTCAACGCAAGATAGAGCAAGGTAAAAAAGATACTCAGAACCTCGCTTTCCCCCTCTTCCCCCTCTTCTCAGGGGAAGAAAGAGGCATGATCCATAGAGCTGCCATGGGAGCCTAGGAACATGAACACCCTCCTGGCCAAAATGTTCCTACAACAGATCAAAAAATTCCCACCCAAGACCCCCAGTGGGACAATAACAACACAGCCCAGCGAGAAAATATGCAGGACTTTAGGGAATTGATGATAAAGGGGATTGAAGAATCAGTACCCCAAACTCAGACTCTTACCTGAACATTTGATATACAACAAGGGAAAGATGAAGGGCCTATAGGATTTTTTAGATAGATTAAAGGAACAAATGAGAAAATACACTAGTCTAGGTCTCGAGGATCCTCTTGGGCAGTGAATGTTAAAACTTCATTTTGTCACTAACAGTTGGCCAGATATTAACAAGAAATTACAAAAGATGGAGAACTAGAAAGATAAACCTATAGAAGAGCTTCTAAGAAAAGCCGAAAAAGTATATATAAGAAAAGATGAAGAAAAACAAAAGCAGAAGGCAAAAATTCTGCTGTCCACCATACAACAAAGTACCCAGGGGGCCAGAACCTATAAAGAACCTAGACCCCCACTCTCCAGGCAATATAAAGGGTAGGAAAGAGTAAAGCCAGGAGACTCAAAGGTAGAGAAAAAAAACTTAGAGGAGAGAAAAAGACTGACAGAACAGAGGCAAAAAGAGAGAGGCAAAGGGGGAGTCAGAGAAAGAGAGGCAGAGAGAAAGGCAAAGAGGGAGTCAGCGTCAAAGAGAGAGAGAGGCAGAGAGAGGCAAAGAGGGAGGCAGAGAGAGAGAAAGAGGCAGAGAGGGAGAGGCAAAGGGAGAGAAAGAGGACAAAACAAATATTTCAAATTAAAAGTAAGTCACTTCAAAAGAGAATGTCCGAAATGGGAAAAAGAACAAAAGTCATATATAAAAGCAAATCAGCTAATATTAAATTTCTGTTTATCCCAGAGGCAGGAACAAACCTATTAGAGAGATTTAATGCTAAAATTTGGCATAGGCCTCTATATTAATCAGGGAAAATTCCTCCCCTCCTTAAACTTGCTCACCACCGCAGACAACTCATTCATCCCAAGGTATAGTCAAAAGGGGAGAATCGAGGAAAGTTACAGATTCCTCGGTTTCATGTTAAATTAACCCCTGGGGAAGTAGTAAAGAGAAGGCAATGTATCCTATTCCTTTCAAGGCCAGGGTAAATTTAAAACCTATAATTGATAATTGAAGGTCTTCTCCATGATGAACTTGTTAAACCCTGTATGTCTCCCTATAACACTCCAATACTGCCTGTAAAGAAGCCAGACAGGTCATACCGGTTAGTGCAAGACCTTAGAGCTATTAATCAGATATCCAAACAGGGTACCATTTCTTAGCTGTACCACTAGCCCGCTTTGCAGCTTCGGAAAACCTAGGACACATGGAGTTAAATGCTGGAATAAGCCAGACCTTATCTGCCCTTCTGTCTAGGTCCTAGGCTCTACACCTGGCACATAATTAAAATCCCAAACTTACAAGGTTTTCAACAAAAGCAAAGTTTGCTAAAAGTTAACAGTGTAACATGTATTCTCCTAACTTCTAATCTTGTGGCCTTAGGCAGTCTAGTCCCCAGACGTGAAGGAAGTTCGCTTTGGAAAATAACAGTTATCATTTTTGACATTAAAAAAAGGAGAATTATGTGAAAAGAATCTCATGGCAAATTCTTGTCCTAAAGTAAAAAGAATCTCATATGGTAAAGTTTTGTCCTAAAGTATAAAGAATTTCATATGGTAAATTCTTGTCCTAAAGTAAATGAACTGGTTGTTTAAAGAAAGGGATGTTACAAGTCAGAAAGTTTTTTTTGTTTTTTTTTTTTTTTGAGACAGAGTCTCGCTCTGTCACCCAGGCTGGAGTGCAGTGGCCGGATCTCAGCTCACTACAAGCTCTGCCTCCCAGGTTTACGCCATTCTCCTGCCTCAGCCTCCCAAATAGCTGGGACTACAGGCGCCCGCCACCTCGCCCGGCTAGTTTTTTGTATTTTTAGTAGAGACGGGGTTTCACCGTGTTAGCCAGGCTGGTCTCGATCTCCTGACCTCGTGATCCGCCCGTCTCGGCCTCCCAAAGTGCTGGGATTACAGGCTTGAGCCACCGTGCCCGGCCACAAGTCAGAA